CCACCCCCGCCCCCTCTCCGTGGTTCCTGGTCCCTCCAGGAAAGGCTGGGCTGGCAGGGTCCTGGGGCTTCCACCAGGTGCATTTCATCCTATTAAAGAGGACGGTGCACAGAGAGCGGCTGCTGGGGTCCTCCGGGTTGGTTATCCTTGTCCGCTATAGAGACATGCAAACAATGACCCCTGGCTTCTTGAAGGACCCTTTCCGCATCCGCCAGGTGAGGTCAGGCTCTGGGTGCTCTTGGTTAGGACGGGGCTTCGTCATTGCTGGGTTCTGGGGCTGAGAAAAGATCTCGGCACCCAAAGTGACCTTTCATTTTTTCCTTTCCTTTCCTTAATTTTGAGGTCTTGGTTTCCACTTCCCTTCCCAAGCCCCACCTGCTCTGAGGAAGGAACTCCACCCTCTTGGAGAAGCATCTCCCGGCCTAGCAGGAAGTGCATGCCCCTTCCAGGGTTCCCCCATGGTGAGTCTGAGGTCACTCTCCTGACCGGGGCTCTGGACACTCCTGGAGAAGCCTCTTCCTCTGCCAGACAAAGACATCAGAGCTGGAAGAGCAGAGGGGGGTGGTGGGGGGGAAGAGGGCGGGGTGGCCCTTTGGGACTAAGGCTTGAAGCTGGCAGTGGGTCAGAAAGAAGGCTGGACACTGGATTGGATCTGTGTGAGCAGAGGGTCCCCTTCCACAGGCTGTGTGTCTTAGCCCCCTAAACAAACAAAACTCACTGTCCTTGAGTCGATGCTGACTCATGGCGACCCTTTAGACTGGGTAGAACTGCCTCTGGGTTTCCAAGACTCTTTACAGACATGTGCAGCCTCATCTTTCTCGTGCAGGGCAGCTGGTGGTTTTGAACTGCTGACCTTGCTGTTAGCAGTCCAATATGAAACCACTATACCACCAGGGATCTGCTAACTCCCTAGTTCTGCTTTAACTCAAAGGAACCCTCATGGTATAGTGGGTCACCCACTGGGCTGCTAAGGACAAGGGCAGTAGTTCAAACACAATAGCTACTTTGAGGCAGAAAGATGAGGCTTTCTGCTCCTATAAAGATTAGTCTCAGAAACCCTGTCCTCTGAGTCACTATAAGTCTGATCGAACTGGGTAGCAATGAGCTTTTGACTTGAGAGCTATAGTAGAGAGACCCTAAGCCAGTGGTTCTCAACCTCCCTAACGTCGAGACCCTTTAATACAGTTCCTCATGTGGTGGTCACCCCCAACCATAAAATTATTTTCGTTGCTACTTCATAACTGTCATTTTGCTACTGTTCTGAATCGGGCGACCCCCGTGAAAGGGTCGTTCAACCCCCAAAGGGGTCGCAACCCACAGGTTGAGAACCGCAGCTCTAAGTGGACAACATCAATGAACAGAAATTAGTTGTCTCCAAGCTCTGGAGGCCAGACTTCCAAACCAGGGTTTTGGTCACCTTGATTTCATCCTTGTAGGTAGAGCATTGGTGGAGAATACGGTTAGATGCTCAGCTGCTAACTGGTAGGTTGTTGGTTCAAATCTATCCAGTGCTTCCTCCGGAGATCGATCTGGAAATTTGCTTCTGTAATGATTTGCTTAGGGGCAGTTTATCACAGTCTCAACCTGGGGGTCGCGACCCCTTTGGAGGTCGAATGACCCTTTCACAGGGGTCGCCTAAGACCCTATTTCCGATGGTCTTAAGAACTGAGGCACTGCTCTTCTATCTGTCTCTAGGCGGGTCCGCCCACACACAGGGCCACCACCACACGAGGAAACGCATTCAAGGGTGGCGGCTTGGGAAGGTTGAGAACCGCCCTTCTGTCGCATGGGGTCCCTGTGAAATGGACTGACGGATACTGCCAGCAGCAAGGCAGCCCTGGGCTCCTGGACACGCAGACAATCCCTCTGGCCTCTCTGCTCCCTCGTGTCTCTGGGTGTGGTGCTTCCGTGTCTCTGTTACTCTTTACAGAACTCAGAGGTGATTAGGTTTAGGGCCCAACCTACCTGACGGATGATTATATGGGAAGTAATTACCGCATATACTCGAGTATAAGCCGGCCCCGATATCAGCCGAGGCACCTAATTTTACCACAAAAACTGCATTAAAAATGTGCTGGAAAAACTCGGCTTACACATGAGTATATATGGCACATTACATCCTAGTTATAGGTATAGGATTTAGGAGTCCAGCACATATTTGGGGAGAATCCATTCAATCCATAACACCAAGTGTCCTATCTCCAACGTGAGCAAGACCAGTGAGCGTACCAACATCCATGGGTTCATCTGTTTTCTTCCCATATGCCTACCGGAAGAACCGCTTGCCAGTGCTTGTGATGAAGGGAGGAGGGAAAGGGGACAGGGAGGAGGGAAAGGGACAAGGAAGAGAGAGAAGGCGAGGACAGCTGGGAGCAGACAGCGCAGATGAGGACAGGCCATTGGGCCCTCAGGCAGACTCTAAGTTGGACCTTCACTGGGCAAGGCCTGGCCTTCAGGGCTCCTCCTGGTCCAGCCTGGCTCTGCAGGATCCCAGCTCAGCAGAGCCTGCAGGTTGGAGGATGTGGCTGCCCAAGGGGGCAGAGCAGGTGGGGTAGCCCAGGAGATCGGAGGCTGGCCTCTGAGCTGTCCCGGGTTGAGCTCAGTCAGACAGGAAGTTCCGGAGAGAAGCCAGAGGTTAGTCTTCTCCTGATGGCTTTGAGGAAAGAGCCCCTGTGTTCAGGAGGCCACAGGAGAGCTAATCAGCATCCCTCCAGGGCAAAGCTGGCTCCGTCTTAAAGGGCCAGGACTATTGTATGGGAGCTGGTTCTCCAGAAAGGGGTGCGTTCTTTAGGGCCAGATAGTCTATTGAAAGGGGTTCTTTAGGGCCCAAGAGTCTATTGGCCTCACTTATTTATGGAGGGCTTCCTGTGCTAGATGATGGCGATGTCGTGGTGGACAAGACATTGACCTAGATCTGAAGGAGCTCCCAGGCCAGCAAGGAAGGCATTGAGGAGTGTGACAGGTGAGCAGACAGCCTGCTCCCATTTAGAGCAATCAGGCTCTGCTGGAGCTGGGCAAGGGCATGAAAGGTCAGGGTGTGTGTGTGTGTGTGTGCACCGGGAAAGCCCTAACCTAGTCTTGGAGGCCCAGGAAGGCTCCAGGGAAGAAGTCCCATCGGAGCTGAGTTGTCCACTTGGTTACCAGTTGGTGGGGAGGCGGTTCCACTGGGAAGGAGTAGCACGGTGCCTTTGGAGCCTCGAGGGGGTCTGTGCTGGTTACAGCAGAGAGGGCTCTAGTTGTGACATCAGAGAAGCCCCAGGTGAAGGTGGCATGGATTCCAGGCCAAGACTTGGCATTTTTCTTAGCGTCACCAAGAGGCAAGTGACAATCGATGTGGTTCAGGAAAGCAGCTTGGCTGGGTTTCCACTCATGAAGCATCTCGGTGGGAGGATGATGGTGGGAGGAAGATCTCTCAGCTGGGGACCAGAGAGGAGGGAGGGGACCCGGAGCTGAAGTTCTAAGTGGTGGTGGTTGAGGGCTGGGGAGTCACCTTCATTCATAGCGACTCCAGGAGACACAGGGCCGCCTCATAGGGTTTTCTGGGTGTGATCTTTCGTGCTCAGCATTGCTGGGTGGGTCTGAACCACCCACCTTTTGGTTCTCAGCTTAGCGTATAACTGTTGCACCACCAGGACCCCCGCGAGCTCTAACAGGAGGAGTGTCCCGTTGTTGTGAAGTGTCTGAGTTGGTCGCCACTCCTAGTGACTGTGTTCAATGGATAACACACTGCCCGGCCCTGCGCCACACTCACCATCACTGTCATGTCTGAACCTTTTCTTGTAGCCTCTGGGCCCATCTCTATTTTTTTTTTTTTTT